ACATCCTACAGTATCTCTTAGTTTTTTCTATAGATTCTCTCCACTACACAAAATCACCTAAAGCCATTTGTGGAAAAATATAATGAGCAATGCACTCAGCACATAGTCCAACTTGGGGGCAAGCAGTAAACCTTACTTTAGAACCAATTGCTAAGTCTCCTGCACACGTTATTTGTGGCAGGTTACACAATAATCTGGATCTCCAGCATCTTGTAGATCTGTTCCCAGGATCAACTTTATAAAAGAAAGTCTGTATGAAATTAACACGACTGAGGCTCTCCTGTAGGTGTCAGGTCCTGGGAAACTCGGATCTTTTAGGTATGAGGTATAATTTACTCACCATACAAGTCATCTGTTTTAAATAGTTCAGGGAGTTTTACTAAATTGATGCATCTGTGCAACCCTCACTACAATCTGGTTCTTCTATTACTTTGAGGAGTTCCCTCATAACCTCTGCAATCCATCTCCCAACCTCAAGCCCCAAGCAACCTCCGATCGGCTTTGTCTCCACAAGTTTTGCCTTTTCTAGAAACTTTGTATAAATGGAATCATGCAACAGGTGATCTTTCATGTCTGGCTCCTGTCCGCTTGACATGATGCTCTTGAGATTTATCCATGATGTTACATGTATCAGTAGGCTCATTTCTTTTTAACTGGTAAGTAGTATCCCCGTTGTATGGATATAGCACCTTTCGTTTATCCATCCACTTTACAGGGCAGTAGACTTGCTAGATCAGATGGTACGGGTACGTTTCACTTTTAAACAAATTGCCAAAATGTTCCAAAGTGAACATGCCATTTTACATTCCAACCAGCGCCACATTAGAGTTCCAGTTTCTCCACATCCTTACCAACACTTTGGCACTATCAGTCTTCTTACTATGGCATCTAATTTACTGATTTTTCTTCTTTTAATGTCTGTAGCTTTTGTATCATATCTGGAAAATTTCCACTAACCCAAGCAAGATTTTCTATTATTTTTGCAGAAGTTTTCTGGTTTCAGTTCAGACACTGAGGTTTACGATCTATTTTGATTTAAATTTTGTGTTGGGAGTGAATTAAGGGTCAGCGATCATTATTTTGTATGTGGATATCCAATTGTTCAAGCACTATTTGTTGAAGAACTATCCTTTCCTTATTACCTTGCTACTTTTGGTAAAAAAAATAAAAATAAAAATAAAAATAAAAAATAAACAAATGAACTGACCACATAGCTGAGGGTTGATTTCTGAACTTTTCCTTCTACATCACTGATCCAGGCATCTATCCTTATGCCAATACCACATGCTCTGGAGTACTGTAGCTTTATGGAAGAATTTGAAATCAGGAAGGGTGAATTCCTCCAATTTTGTTTTTTTCCCATGCTAGTTAGGCTATTCTAGGTCCTCTGCATTTACATCTTAGTATCAGCTTGTCAACTTGCATCAAAGAAAAGAGATTTTGATGGAGATTCCGTTGGATCTGTAGGTTGATTTGGGGAGAATTGCCAATACTGAGTCCTCTCATCCAGTCAATACAGTATATGTTGCATTAACTTTGTTCTGTTATTTCTCTCAATAACATTCTCTAATTTTCAGCACACAGCTTTCATAGTTCCTATGACAAATTTACTTTGAATGTTTTATTCTTTTTCATGTTACTGTAACGAAATTAATCAAATTTCATTCTCAGATTTCCGTTTCTGGTATGCAGACATAGACTTGATTTTTGCATACTGACCTTGTATCCTGCAACCAACTCTGCTATACTCACTAGTATTCCAGCAGGTTTTCTTTTATAGATTACTTCTAGGATTTTTCTCTGTACAAAGATCACCTTGTCTGTGAACACAAGTGATCTCATTTCTTCCAATTCTTAGGGCTTTCATTTCTTGTTCTTGCCTTATGGCCATTGACCTTTATATATATGTGTATAAAAAGTTTTTATATGCATATATATATATAAATTTTTTTAAAAAAAATTTTATTTATTTATTCAGGAGAGACACAGAGGGAGAGGCAGAGACATAGGCAGAGGGAGAAGCAGGCTCCCTGAGGGGATCCCAATGCAGGACTCAATTCCAGGACCCCAGGATCACAACCTGAGCCAAAGGCAGACAGTCAACCACTGAGCCACCCAGGTGTCCCCCTTGATTTTTATATTTGAATTATTAGCAAACTTCACTTTAGTACACCATACAGTGACACTCTTCATACCCCTTTCATAAATGCTCAGATCACCACAGTGAGTGACTGTGTTTAACCAGCTTATGTCGTCGCCTACCAGTCAAAACTTCTCTTTCAGCAGCACTGCTCTCCTTGTTTGTCAAATACTGTTTGGATAATTATTTAGAAATTCCAACTGCATTTTGTACTCATCATTTAGAAATGAAGGAACAGAAAATGAGAAAAAGAAAACGCTGCCATCAGTAATAAGCACACATCTCATACACTTAACAACATTTGAGACCAAGATGAAAATTATTACGCATGCTGGAAGTGGCAATTCTTTAGCCTCAATTAGGTGCTCATTGGGCTTAATAGGCTGGTCAACCATGAGAGAGAGTAAAATTAAAGAACATAACATGGCCTAGTGAAAATATAACATCAAAGACCATATCTAAGATGTAAGGTATAATTAGTGATTTTAAAATATATTTCAGTTCTTGGGGAACCTGATTGCCTTTCTGAGAGATACCATAGCTCAATTCTGTTTTTTATTCTTTTATTTTTTTAAATTTTATTTATTTATTCATGAGAAACACAGAGAGAGTCAGAGACACAGGCAGAGTGAGAAGCAGGTTCCCTGCGGGGATCCTGATGCAGGACTCGATCCCAGGACCCCAAGATCATGACCCGAGCCAAAGGCAGATGCTCAACCACTGAGCCACCCAGGCGTCCCTACAGCTCAATTCTTTAGTAGACTGAGGAACACATTAAGTCTCACAGTGTGGGATATACCAGGACTTCATTTACTCTTACAAAACTTCTGGGAAAGATAAAACAACTCTCATAGAAATCAGAGAACGGGGGCACCTGAGTGGCTTAGTTGGTTAAGCACCTGTCTTGGGCTCAGGTCATGATCCAAGAGTCCTGGGATGGATCCCTGCTTGGCCGAGACTCTGTTTCTTCCTCTCCCTCTGCCCCTCCCCCTGCTCATGCTCTGTTTTTCTCTTTCAAACTAAGTAAATAAAACCTTAAAAAGAAAAAATCAGAGAACAGATAAATTAGAGAACACATACAGAAACTTAAGTAACTTGCTGAAGTTGTATGGTTAAGTCATGGAGACAAGACTCAAATCTAGGTCTGTTTGCTTCCAAAAGCTCTGAATTGGGGCCCTCTTTTCTGGAGCAGCCCATTTCCCTGTTGGGTAACCTGAAGCCCCAGCCTTCCATGCCTCCTCAGGAAAACCCCCGAGTCCACATGTGTCTGGTTCTAACCTTCTCAGCAGTGACTCAGAGCAACTGGGTAATGGGAGGATTTATCTTCCTGGTTTGCTCTCTCCCAAAATACCAGCCCAAAGGTTGAACACTATAATAAAGAAATCTGAGGTGGTTACATAAATAAGGTCCATGTGCATAAATGTGGAAAGCTCGGTTTGAAATGGATGAGCGATTTTCCTTTGAGTTTGGAGGCAGAGATGCCCAGGAAGTTTGACTAAGAAAGGACGCGAGAAAGTTTTTCAGTGAGGTAAAGTCAGGCTTTTCTCCTCTGCTTTCATTTTTGGGCAAACACATTAGAAAATGAATGCATTCCCAAGCAGAAAAGTGACCACGAAACCACTTCGTGGTGGATGGGTGATAGAGCTCAGCCTTCTCTCTCAACACCCCACAGAAAAATTCTACCCCTTGGGCGCAGATGATTCGGACTAAAATCTTGATCACTTGGGTTTGCAAGGCCGGGAAAAGAGGAGGAGGACACAGAGCAAAGAAAAAGGAGATTATCGAAAGCCCTTCTCATTGTGCTTTAAGTAAATACTCCCTCGAGATTTTGGATTTTTGGGTTAATCAGAAAACATTTCAATAGGCTTTTTTTTTTTCATGAAACAAATGCAAATTGTAGCTCCAGTGCCCTCTGGGCTATCCATAAGACCAGAAGCAAGCATCTCAATTCCCTCCTGTGTGCCAGATAAGCCCTAGGACGCTGTCCTGTAAGATTTTGCTTCTTGATTGGCAAACCTTCCTAATCATCAGAAGTCATTTCACAAACCCCGTATTTTAGGTCTTGTACTGACGTGTTCTCGTCCTCCTCAAATAAAACACGTATTTTACAGACCTCACACCGTTTAGACACGAATAGCAACGCTTTGGAACATCTCAGTAGTTAGCAAAGTACTGGGAAATGACCTACGTGGTTGAGGGACAAGGTGGCATGGCCATCAGATCAGGGCCCAGCAGCGACAGGACCACAGCCTGCCACCCACTCCAGAAAATAAAGTCTCACTGGAACCCAGCCAGGCCCGTTCATTTATGTCTTGTCTGTTGCTGCTTTCTCGCTACAAAGGGCAGAGTTGAGGAGTTGCCACTGAGACCATCTGGCCCGCAAATCCTAAAATATTTACTATCTGGTTCTTACAGAAAAAGTTCGCCAATTCGGTGATGCTACTTTTATAAAATGATACGGAAAAATATTCCTGTTAAGTAAAAAAAAAAAAATTTGTAGGGATGACACACTATTACATGTGTGGTCTAGTCTGAATTATGTAAAACAAGGGAAAGTGGGCAGAGAAGAGGTAAAAAAAATAAAGGTTAAGCAGGTAGATTTGGGTGGCAGCATTAGGGGCGATGTTCCTTATCCCCATCTACAGGTTCCCGTTTTCTAAAATGACCTTTTCTTTCTTTCATCGCAGAAAGAATACGGAACCTCACGCTGAACATTCTTTTAGTCCGTCTCTGACTTGCACACGGTGGGGGTGACAGCATTCGGCTCTGTCCTCTCACCAGGCCCAACCCCACAGGTGTGCTGAGGGAGGCGGGGATGGGGGGGCGGGGAGGGGGGCTGCAGGAAGCCCCTGGCAGGTACCTTATGCTCGTCCCGAAGGTGGCTGTCCAGTTCTTCCGTGTGCTTGGTCTCGTAGTAGCAGAGCTGGCATTTGTAAGGTTTCAGTTCATTGTGCTTTTCTATGTGTTGCTGGAGGCTCTCGTCGCTGGAGCAGGTGAAGGTACACTTATCACAGCGGAAAACCACTCCCTGCAAGTATTTCGACAGCTTGGAACGGCACACCTCGATGGGGACGACTCGCTCTTCTGTGGAGACAAAACGGACGGAAAGATGGGAAGTTTCGCTGGTGTCAAGCCCACGCTCCTTCCCTGGCAGGTGGGAGGAAACCCAGCCAGCCCGCCTGCCTCCCAGGGGTCTGTCGGGAGCGGCCTGCAAGGTGCTCAGTAACCGCTGAGTGCAGGAGGCTCTAAGAAGGGACAGGGGTGGCTACTGCATCTTAGAGCCCCGAAGACCGTGGCCAGCAACTGTCCGCACTCCCCGCTTCCTCGCTAAGTGCCAGCCAGGCAGGACCCCGCGTCTCTAAGTAGAAGGGACAGTGCCAGCGCCCAACCACCCGTGTGCCACTACCGTGCACCTTCCTGGCAACTCTAAGAGCGCCGGCGTTATTCCTGTTTTTACAGATTAGTAAAGGCAGGAACGAGGCTCTTAGTAACTTCCCAACGGTCACACAGACGTGGTCACCGGCCCGGCTGAGTTCTGACCCCCGCCTGCAGAACTGCAAGTCCTTTATGTCGCACGCACGGTTTCCACTTCCACTCCCGCTTCCCCTTCCGAGCTGTTCTCAAGGAGCCGGTCTTCCTTATCCTGAAACCAAGGGACTCTAATCTAACAACAGATCTAAAAACAAAGGACCTGTACATTTTCATTCACTAAAACTCCAGCTCTCTAACTAGGGGAAGCTCACAAATGAAATGGCTGCGGGCAGCATTTGGGGGTGTGTGTGTGGGGGAGGCAGGGGGTAGCGTGGGAGATAGGGAGGATTTGTGCCTTTTCAGACAATCTGTAATCTGATTGTCACAAGGGAAAAAATAAAAGAGGGAGAGGATTTGGGTGCTTTTCCCATTAACATACCAAATGCTGTAGGGCTGGAAATGCGTGTGCTTGTTTATTTTGCACTCTCTTACCCTTGTGTTTAACTGCTCAAATTAAATTTCACACCAGTCTGCCCAGAGTATCGGCGCACGCGCCAGATATCCATAACTGGGATAAAATTAAAATCTGTGCTATTTATGCAAGGATCAAATATAGCGTGTGTTTTCATGCTGTGTCTGGATTTCAGAAGACTCTGGAAGTTTACAAATGGACGCACACAACATATACTTATATTATTTAGAAACAGCAATGTATTATTAAGTCAAGAACGCGTGATTTATTCTCAGAGTCACTGAGTAGCAACGTTTCCAGGCGTCCGTGTTTTGTGCACTGATGCAGCTCACCCTTTGTCGTCGGCCGGCCCGGCCCCCGGGGAACCCTCGCCACCCAAAGCCAGGCCCGAGTGTCAACCACCACGTTCTCCCTGCAGGGCAGGCGGTCCCCGTCTTGCGAGTCCTCGAATACAGCAATTAATTGGCCAGCAAAAAGCCGGCCAGAGGAAGCGTGGAAGGTGGTGTCTGCTACATACTCCCCGGAGCTCTAATGCATATGTTATTTTCCCTATACAAAGAGTCAGTCGCTTATTTAGAAATATAAATATTTTTAAACCAAAGTAGAGCAGACAGCTAAGAAACACATGATTATAATGTAATCCACACATTTTCTTAGAATAGCAAATGTTTAACAGTCTTCTAACCATTCAGTTCCATGGTTTGGTGTAATCCGAGGAAAAAAAAAATGCTTTGGCATCAGCCAGCCAGAGCCTTATGAGGGCTCGAGCTACCGTGTTCCAGCCCCACACCAGGGTTTGTCCACAGCAGCACTACTGACATTTTGAGGCCAAACAGGTCTTTAGGCGGGGGGCTGTCCCATGTACCCGAGGATGTTCATCAGGTTCCCTGGCCTCTATCTCAACATTTGCCAGGAGACCCCTCTTGCCTCCCCATTGTGATGACCAAAAATGCCTCCAAGCAGGTGCCCCCCGAGGAGGCAATGCTTGACACCAACTGTCGGGCATCGCCTCCCACCACTCTGGGGGAGACACGCATGGACACGAGCCGTGAGCAACCAGGGCCCACCCCGAAACCCTGGGGCCAGCCCCACGGGCAGTGCGGACATGAACTTTCCCGGCTCCTTCCTGGACACCGCAGCCCCTTCTGCTCTCCCCCTGCGTTTGGGCTCCGACGTGTACTTGGTCATTTCTATTGCTTCCACGCTCCGGCTCAGGCGACCCCAGTGGAGACGGACAACAGCTGCTATGACAGTCCCTGTGACGGTGCCTCGAGCGCCTGGGACACAGGCACGCAGTCGGCCTCCGCTCTTCACTTCTCCCCGTAAAGAATCGTGTCTTTCAGACTTGGTTTTTATGGGTCTCCCTCTCAATTCCTCTGCCACCCTGGTTAGTTTTCTTTGCAGTTTCCGATTTCACTACGTGCGCCTAAGTGCATTTTACACAAAAAGGCACCAGCGCTCAAGATACTCCGGAGCCTAAAAAATAATCATTCATGCAAATGATCACAGCAATTTACCAAGAGCGCGTTACATCTCAAGCAATGTTAGGTATTCTCCTCTCACTGTCACTTTTTTATTCTCCAAACACTCTGCGAAGCCAGTTTTATTACCTTTCGTTTCCTGATGTGGAAGCTGAGGACAGGTCTGTGGAACTACTTTCTCAAAGTCATGCCTCTGGTTCAGAACAAAGTTGTGACCTGGGAGCACAGGTCTCCTGCCGACCCTGAGCCGGGGCCCTCTTCCTTCACCCCTGAAAAGAACTCTCCTGGGGCATCCACTCTGCATGCCGTTTATTTATAAGCCTTTTATTCCTAATCGTTGAAGAGTACAAAAGCAAGGCAACCATTTCTATCTGAATTTTCTTTCTATCTATCTGAACCATTTCTATCTGAATTAGATAAATGGTAAGTTCCCGCATACCTACAAACCCAGAAACCTCAGACTTCCCATTTCCAAACTAAGACATCACCAACATTCCAAGTCTCCTGGTTACGTGGATTTTTACTAAGATATTTATCTTAGAAAAAAAAGTTAATTTTTCTCCTTTCTAAAACCAGGGCTAACACGACGAAGATAAAAAAAAAAAACAAAAACAAAAAAACAAGACAGACTTGGAAAGGCGGGCAAATCACCGACACTGTTTTCTGAATGAGGTTATTCATTATTGAGGCGAGTCAAGGACATAAAGTTAGAGACTGGAATGTTTCCAGGTATGGACGGAGCCCTGTCTTGGCTACAGAAGCTCAGTGCTCAGGACTTTTTTTTTTTCTATGGAGGCAGCGACAACTGTGGCTCTTTCTTGACTTCACACCTCTCAAAATTACCTTGGGTAAGAAATCAAGGCTTGAATCACACTCATTGTGACTCAGCTTTCAGAGCTGGCTGCAAAAATATTATGACTTAACCAGTTTGACTACAAGATAGGTTGTGTCTCTCATCTCTTCCTACTCAAAAGCCGCTTGGTGCTACAGCTGGACATAAACCCCAAGAGTAATGCCACATGGAAGCCTGTGGGAACTAAGGCGCAAAGGAGCCTACAAGCGTGTGCCGACAAACTCCCGTGGTGCCCAGTGGAAAGATCTGCGGAGTTGCAACTAGGAGGGCGGAGGGTCACTTTTGCTCCAACAGAGAAAAACCACATCACTGTGGAATCCAGAATCACCAAGTGAAAATTCTTCCTGAAAAGGCAGACCGCAACACACTTGGGTTTCCTCCCCACAACATGCCAAGTCTGAACGAAGCAGGGAGAGATCTGGAAGTCATTCACGCCAACAAACTCCATATGCAAATGGTCATGCTAACGGGCCAAGACCCTCTTTGGACCAAACCAAAGTCCCACCCATTACTGTCAGCCAAACAAGTGACAAAAGTTGAGTACTAGAAAGCCATTAAGAAAATAATCGTTTCTAAAAAAATAAAAAATAAAAAAAAATCCAAAACATAACCATAAACGGACACACATAAACATAAGGACAACAGCTCCTGGTATGAAGTGATTAATTTGATGTTAGCCAGGCTACCGCCGTCAAGCCAGAGAAAGCTGGGAACCACACCTGTAGTTCTAACAGGCGAAGCATTTGGTGGGGATACAGGGGAACCTGTAATTTCACTGAATAAAATGAAAGACTAGTGATTTCACTCTAGATTTTTTTTCCTTAAGAAAAATGATACTGATAAGGTAAATTTAGGGAGATTAGTTTTGTTCCCCAAAGAGACCCACCTACAGGGTTCAGTTAAAATTCATTGTTTGCCTAGGTATTGGGGTTAAAGGTTGGGAAGCAGAAGCTTTAAGTTACCATGCCAACTGGAGACCAGCATCAGTGATTACACAGTTCAGGAATTATAAATAAAAATACCTGGCAAAACTGTCTTATCCCTACAATTCAATCTGTACCCAACTTTCCAGGTGCACTGTAGGTATGCAAGGTACACAAAGGCAAAGATGTGCATGAGGCATCATACTTCGAGTGGTGCTGATAAACTGATAAACTCAGTGGAAATGCACTCATGAAACTATTTATTGCCTGTTCACTGTCTCTTCCCATTAAAGTTCAAGTTCCTTCAGTGCATGGACCTTGCCTGACTTCACGGCTGTATCTCTAGGGCCTAAAACACTGCCAGCATATAGTGAATGTTCCATAATTACGTGTTCCATTAAACGAAAATCCACCAAGAAGTCCTACCTCCAACCTTTTCCTTCAAACAAAAATCTCAGGGCTTAATTTTTCCCTTTCTAAACTGGTCCAATTAGGGCCAATCTCACCAAATGTTGATCTCACCTAAGTTCCTACACATGATCTTAGCCAAAAGGCTGAGAAGTGATCACCTAAGTTCCTCAAAGAAATGGGTCTACCAATCCTTGGCTTCAACCTTTGCTAAACTGGTATTCATCAGGTACCCTGGTTTCCCATCTGTCTGAGTTCAAACTCATACATTGGTCTCCAGGCCCTACATAATTTGCCAGAACACACTTTACCTGCCTTGACCCCTATTCCCTTCAGCCCGCCTCAGAACTCTCTAATACAACTCTGTCAACATATCTAGTTCCCACCTACCTCACCGGTTTAAACCCCCCTCCACGATGAGGGACACCAATAGTGTCCCTCAGAAATTTATGTGTACCCGGAACCTCAAAATATGATCTTATTGGGACATAAGTTCTTTGCAGATGTAACTAGTCAGGATGAGGTCACAGTGGTTTGCAGTGGGCCCTAAATTCAATGAATAGGTTCTTGGGAAAAGGGAGAGGCCACACAGAAGACACACACAGTGAAGATGGCCATGTGAGGACAGGTGCAGAAACCGGAATGACACAGCTGTAAGGCAAGGATGTCAGGAGCCCCCTGAAGCGAGGAAGGGCCAAGGGAGGATTTTTGTCTAGAGTCTTCAGAAGGAGCACGGCGGGGGTATAGCTTAGTGGTAGAGCATTTGACTGGAGAAGGAGCACGGTCATGCTGTCACCTTGACATCAGACTTCTAGGTCCCAGAGCAGTGACAGTTCATTGTTGTTTCAAGCCACCGAGGAAACTCATATACCCCACCTTCAATCTTCTCTGCCTGCTGAAATGTCATCATGGCTCAGTTTGAAAGTCACCCTTCACCACCTTTCTCTACTCCAAACACAAATACACCTGCCACCATGAATCTCCTAGATACCCGTCACTCACTACCTTCTGTACGTAGACTTACGCACATGCTTCATCTTCTTGAGGAGGGCAGGTACTGGGTCTTACCTCATCTTGCCCAAAAACCCAGCATAGTATGGCATGTAACAAGCAAGTAATGAACGCTTGCTGAATGCATGGGCAAACAGTATGCTCTCTTTAGCTACAGCCAACATAAACCCACGGCCATTTCTCATTCAGATTTCCCATGAGTGAAACGGATTCTCCTCTCTTTCCTCCCTATTTAAATACACCCTTATGTCGGGATAAAAAGCTAAGGAAACTATTCTTGCAAGCAATATTTCAAGTTGAGAAGTTGTTTTTCTTCCCTTTCATCCCAAGTATTTTAATTAACCAAGGCCTCGGAAAGCTCTCTCACTGCACGCCCTAGAGACCAAAGATGTTTACTCATCCACAGAGCAAGGAGAGCACAGGTGCAGAAAGAGCCACATCTTGTTACTTTGAGATCAACCCTGACTTGAAATTTCAAGGCAAACACCCAGCCCTGGTCTTGTCAAGACCAGCTTCCTACCAAGATGTCATTTTGAGTGGAGATGGACACCAAAGCCAGGCCAGGACACAGATGGCAGACACGGCTGTCCTGAGGCATCCTGCCATCTGTGGTGCAGTGGTCCTCATCTCTGACCTCCAACCCCACAGATGATTCCACCCTCAGACCCAGCTGCCACAGCCACTGTGGAACACTCAACAGGGTGACATAGCCACCATCCCAGGGGAGAGACAGTGATGCCTGGTAGTTATAGGCCTGGGCTGTGGGGCAGGCAAGCCTGGGTTCAGATCCCAGCTGGGTCACTTATTAGTCATTTGGACCTTCGGTCACACTCAGTCTCTCTGTACTTTTTATCCTTGTTATTGGGGAAAACAATAATACCATGCCATATAGGGTTTTGTGAGAATTCCATAAAATGGCATATTGGACTCACTTAGTACAGCACCTACTACTAGCAAAACACTCAGTAATAGTAATTTGTTGTTGTTAATGTTGTTATTATTACTGCCAAGCCTCAAATGCCCCTTCATTCCAGACTGTGCACTTTCCAACCCTGATAAAGATATTTATCTATTTAGGTGGCTCTTTTAACATAAGTTACCTCTACAAATAAACAGAAGAGACTGTAAGTAACTAATGACAGGCAGTATGATGCATGGGTCACAGGATCAGAGGCCTGGAGTTGAGTCCTAGCATGGTTAGCGCTCACGTGACTCCAGTTCAACTGGTCAGCTCTCGCTGTCCCCGTGGGACTTACCACTGTATTTGTGTGTGTGTGTGTGTGTGGGGGGGGAATGCTACACACTGGATCACACATGGCCCCCTTTGGAGACCCCACTGGAGAAATCCTTCTCAGGTCTCCAGTGTCCAGGATCCCTGGAAATCTCCTGGACACAATTTCCAAAGTTTAACAAACATTTGAAATCCAACTGATTTTGTTTTTTTTTTTTCTCTTCCAAGGGAGGCTGGGATCTCAGGGCCAGATCTGCAGCCCACCGCTAACAGGTGCACAGCACCTCACTACATTCACTAGACACCAAACTCCTGGGGAGCTTCTCTGTATGTCTAGGGGGCTTGCAAGTGACCTCTTACTCCACATGTGCCCCAATTTCCCATTTGTTTTAATCCTGTAGTTTGCACAAATATCTTTAAGATCTCTGAAATCCCTTGTGGGATGACCACAAATAATTACACCAAATCAAAGAAAACATAGTTTTTCTCAGTTTCATGCAAGTGAAGTGGGAATATAAGTAATAATACTAGCCCTTACGATGTTGTTGGATATGAATGAGTTGGTGTCAAGTGTAGCACTACAAGGGTATTTCTCAGCTTTAGCATTTACTCTCTCCACGTCCCCCCACCGCCCCACCGCCCGCCCCCGCTTTCTTGAAGTCTCAGCTCAGCTCATTAGACACTGAAGCTCTGATCCCGCCAGGCAGTAGTATGGGAAGCCGGAGGGAATCAACCCCAGAAGTGAGGTCTCATGGCTTCTGTGTGCTCAGCAGCAACGCTACTCATGGCCTCTCCTCACACTGTGACGGGGACACACAGCCACCACAACACCTGGGCTGGGGGACCAGAAGCCAGGGGACTGAGGTGGAACACCAGATGGGACCACTCCGGCCAAGACTTCCTGCCTAAATGTTCCTACGCTGCTTCTCTCAGCTTGTGGGCAGGCGTCCCAGGCAGCAGCGGTGACCTCGCGTCTCATCAGAGTGGCCTAGAGAGGAAGGAAATCCAAGGGCGCTAAATGTGGCCTTCCACGGGGCGTGCGGCAGAGGTGGGCGAGATGTCACAACACGCAATGGCCCAAGACGGTGGTGCCGGGTGAATGCTGGAAACTTTTGAAAATGCTCAAAAAATCTCCAGCAATTCAGGGTGAGTGACATCTCAGCAGGACAGCAAGAAGGCACTCATTGTTTTTGAGGCACACGTGGCAAAACCAGAAAAGCCTCCTAAGGTTAGAGGCAAAGGAAGGAAGACTGGAAAGAAGAGGTGGACGAGGAGGGAGGGAGGGTAGGAACAAAGCAAAGATGAAAGATCCGTGGATGGGAACCGCACGAGAGACTGGCAACCAGGATTCTGGTCCTCTTTTTCCAGTCACCTCTGGCTCGAATCTTTTTAGGACAGAGTAGTTTTTACATAAACATATTTTTCCTTCTAATGCAGAGGAAGCCTGTTGTTTAACAGTGTTTTAATTGGCCAAGAGTAAACTCCACTGAAAGAAAAACCAAAGAGGACTTGAAAGAAGTATCCCTGTTTATCAACAGGAAGCAACATGTACGGAACACCCAGTATGCATCCACCACGGAACACACTAGACCTTGGCTCATTATTTCATAGGCTTGACTGTCATCTCTTCTTACAGATGGGAGAGCAGGTAAATACAGGAGGCTTTAAAGCCAGGACTGAAATCTGAAGCCTATGGGATTTCTAATAGGTACCCAGGCCACTTTCATTTTAATAATTTTCTCTCTCCATCCGTTTCAAGGATGACTCCACGTTCTGCTTTGGAAATCACCGAACTGCTTACAACCAGTTTGCTCGTCGCCTTTTATAATGAGTCCCCACCCGTCCATCCTGTTTCTCAGTCACTCCTTCCTTAGCAAGGCTGTGAGCATAGAGGGGTCAGAATGTGAAAACCCCTCAGGCTGGGAAGCCCCCAGAGAAGTGCTCACTGCTGAACCCACCACCTTTGCCTCCCTGCAAGGGGAGGAGATCCTCGTGGCAGGGGCTTTTACCGTTGGCTGTCACTGTGGCCATCACTGTGATCGCCTGCCTGGAGATAAGGTGAGGAAGGAGGGGACCAGGGCCAAGGTGCCAACTGCCACCTCGACACAGGGTGTCCCTGTAATGCCACCCACCCTCATCCTGGTGCCCCAACACAAGCACACTTAGGAGGGTTACCTCGGTGCAGCACGATGTGGTCGATCATGTTGCGTTTGTATTTGGTGTGATAGAGGCAGAGAGGACAGCGAAGATCTTTGGGGCCCTCCTCGGGAACCGCCGAATGCCCAGCTTCCACGTGCATAGTAAAAGCAGATCTGAGAAGGAGAGGGGTGAGGGGGGAGAGAGGCAGTGAGTGCGACAAGGGATCGTGTCACTCGCACATCCCCATCCCCGCTGGCTGACTTACTACGGGTCTTCCAGGTGTGACACCCCGGCTCGACGGGACAGAACCAAGGTCCTTAATTAATCATATTTGCTGACCACAAGCTCCTCGGTCGCTCATCCAGTAACTGAGCTTTGTCATGCAGCGGTAACTTCTTTTTTGAAAATGTTTGCCACTTGGCTGGGGTCAGGGCTTAGTTTGAAAAGAAATGGATTTCCCCAAACACTTCTATTCTTGAAGATTTAGAAGTTGCCTATTAAGAACATAAAACCAGGGACACTTGGGTGGCTCAGCGGTTGAGCTGAGCGTCTGCCTTTGGCTCAGGGTGTGGTCCTGGGGTCCCAGGATCAAGTCCCACATTAGGCTCCCTGCATGGAGCCTGCTTCTCCCTTTGCCTGTGTCTCTGGCTGTCTCTCTCTGCGTCTCTCCTGAATAAATAAATAAAATCTTAAAAAAAAAAAAAAGAACATAAAGCCAAAATCCCTATGAGAACTTATTACTCATCATGCCTGGAAGGAGGGGGACTAGAGTCCGGTTGATTTACCAGCTGCCTACGTGACTCTTCACACCTAAGGATGGGGAGGGCGAGGTGGCTGGGACATCATGGCAGCCGAAGGTGGCAGGGTATTGTTGCCTTCCTCTCCATCCTTTTCAAAACTTCATCATTTACAAAGCCTTCAAAGTCTCATAAAAATGGATGAAACCAAGAGTTTAATGGGCAAGGTCCCCTTCTTATTAACTCCAGTGCTTCTCTCAGGGGAAACATGTGCACCCGTCAGCGGGCCCTTGTTATCTGAGTCTTCAGCCTTTTCTCAGTTCTAAGGTCACATGCATATTTATTCGAAAAACAACTGAACCAAATTACTAGTCAGAGACGTAAAACATTTTCCATCAAATCCCAGCAACCACAGTATTGGTGGAAAAGAAACTTGTTCTTCTTCCAACTGTTTTCTGTTGGCCATGAAGCCTGCTTTTGCCAGCCTCGCTGTGTGGAGTCTGTATGGAAGCACTAGAGTGGCCTAAGGCTCAGGCCCTAATTGCAATAGGAAGAGATAATAATAGCTTTCCATCTGTAATACAGCATCTCTCACCATATTACTCTAATAGCTTTCTAAGATATTATAATACTTATTAGTGTTTCCTTTGCAGCAGGCACTATTCTGAGCACTTCAGATACTGTGGTTCATTTGCTCCTCCTAAGAGTCCTGTGAGTGGCACAGTATTACTATTTTTATTTTGCAGATAAGGAACAGGAGACACAGAGAAGCTTAGGGACTTGTCCAAAGTCACACGGCCAGGCCGTGGCAAAGCTGGGACTCGCACCCAGGTAGTCAGGCCCCACATCCTGAACTCATAACCACTAACCTAAACAACGCTGCACAGGATGAGATTAAACCACAAGAGTCTAGATTACATGATGGGAAGCACTCCACTCTTTGAGTTCACCGATTCTGTTATACACAGGAGCAAAGGTGCTCTGGATTATCTTTTTCTGGATTGGAACAATCTCTCTACAGTTGTTCAGTTCTAGTCTTCACAGTGCTGGAGTTTTGATTCTCTGGGTGGCTTTCAATAATATGATCTTAGGAAATACAGTTTCTAAAGGGTAGCAGGGAAATCACGATGGCTTGGATGTTCTCTCTTGACTTTGACTTCACTTTCAAAAACCTGTTTTGTTTTTTGTTTTTTTTTTTTAACCAAAGACAAATTTTAAAAAGGGAGGATAGTCCTCTGGAGGAAAAACATGGGTTGTTTCATGCACCGGGCCAGAGAAATCCCTTCCCACGATCTCACCCTACTCGGGTGCCCATTTGTTCTAATTTTGAAACTGGTTTGTCCTGACATATAGCGCTTCATGCCAAACCCCCTCCACAAACCCCAAAGCTGTCTTCTGGAAACTGGCCTCCTTTTGCGAAAACCAGACCCAATCCCTGTATGAGGCCCCGTGGGCAGGGGGCCTTCCCTGAGCTCCGGGTAGGATGGCGCAGGGAAGAGTGCGGTGAGGGATGGAGCGGGCGCAGCCACCTCGTTTCTCGAGGCTGAGTTCTTCGCGCCACTTACTTAAAGCCTGTGTAAAAGGAGCAGTCTTTGCACTTGAAGAGCTTCTTCCCACCATGCTTGTCCCTGTAATGGCGCCTGATGCTCTGGATGTAGCCAGAGGAGAATTCACAGAATTCGCAGTGGAGAACAGCCTCGGTTTTCTGCTCGGCACCCCCGGCGGCCCCAGAAAGGGGCACGGGGCTGACGCGGCTGTTGTTCCTCGCCAGGGCAGCCGACTGATAGTGGTTCAACTGCTGCTGCACATCTGGAGGTTCTGAGTAGGAGGAGTCTGTGGACAGACGGGGAAAATGACACCGGACACAGAGAACACCAGGGAGGCCGGACACCTGAAAACCCTTGACATTACTGCCATGTAATTTTTTTTTTTTTTTAAAGATGACGACTACGATCCACCTTTCATCTTCATTTACATCCTACAACACAGATCTAGGGAAGGGCAGGTAGGAAGGAAGTGCCACCTCTTTTCATCTGACTTTTGAGGGCTCAGAGCATTTAAAAATAAAACTCTGAGGTTAAAGGTTTCAAAGTGAAGGAAGAAAGTAAACTGTTTTCTAAAGGAAATTGCAGCGCGGCAACGGGCTGCCACAGGATACCCGTCCCCGTAGGTGAGATGAATAAACGCACAGAAGGTACACAGGCATCTCTGGGAGAAAGTCGATGATGTAAATCTCCTCCTCTGCAGCCCAGTACTAGTCAAGCCAACCCCCCACCACCCCCCAAAAAAAGATCTTTAAGAGAAACGTTTGAGCACATGGCACTCACAAATATAAAAAATGCTTTATGGCTTCACAGGCAAGTGATTTAAAATTTAAAATATAAAGATCTCATAGTGTTCTCCTGGAATGGATGTTTAAAGCTTAGTCAGCATTAAGATGGAGATTTATTCATAAATCCCATTAAAATGAAGTTCCAAACAAGTTTCCCTAAAAGGTATTTTAAAGTTTTCGATTTGGAGGAAAATGTGGGAAATGACAGGCATAAATCTCCACCCGGAGAAGCTTCCATGGCATGGGGTGGAGAAATCTGATCTAGACGGGAGGTGGGGAAAAAACATCTCGGTCTCTTAAAAAAAAAAAAAAAAAAAAAGAGTGGGAGAAAGTAAAAGAAAGGTCTTGAACCTTTTCCCAACACGCGGCTTTGAGCATTGGGGCTACACATTCTACAACATTGTCCCCCGGAACCTACAGCTGCCTGTGAATGACACAAATGACATCTATGAATACCACGCAGATGAATTTCAGTGTAACTTTCCTTGAAAAGCAAACAAAGGGCTCCTTTTTTTTTTTTTTTTTAAAGCCTTTCAAAAAGCAGGGGGGAAAGGGGATAGAAACTGTACCAGCCTCCTCCTGATGTGATGGACACTTAATTTTCCAAAGCACGATTCCCCGAGGCAGGACATGGAGGGATTTGGTAAAACCCGTATTTGCTGAAACCAGTCCCATCCATCCCGTTGGCCTCTTCGAGAAGGAAAACAAAAACAGAGCAGCCTCCCTCATCTGTGGGGCCACCTCCTGTCTTCAAAATACTAAAATACCTTCCCTTCTTGTTCTCCCCCGCCCCCTCCTCCATTCGTATTCCTCAAGATTGAGGAAAAACCCCTTTGGAAATTGTAAACAAACCTGCCACACACACAAAAATAAAACAAAAGGAAACTTGAACAATACCTCCGAGCCTCCATGGGTTCATTACCAGGTGTAAACTGAAGACAAAGGAAGAAAGGAATGACACCACCGAATTCATTTTGCTCAAGTCTTTTATCTCTGCCTTCTTTATTCCTCAACCCTAGCTGATGAACCCACTCAGGATCACAATAATGCAATTGTCAACTTCTCATTCTTCCTTTCAATAGCAGGTTTGTTTACCACCGCACGGATTGTTCAAGATGTTTTCTATTTAAGCTCTCAAGACTACTTTCTGCTTAAAACACGCGCACAATGTAGCACAAAACACACTCCGCCTCTCTTGTTAACACAGGCTGGGGCTGCGGGTCGGGCCTGGCCCCACCAGCGCCCCGCCAAGGCCCCCGCCAGCACCCCGCCTTCTGGTCTGCAATCTGCGCTGCAGGATCGAAATTCCGTGCCCGGCAAGGCCAAAGCCAGGTCCCGCTGCCTGTGGGCCACCCACAAGGCTACCCAGAGACCACATCGGATGTCCCAAGGAATGGTCCATCTCTCAAAAAGCAGCCAGCAGCTCTCTCCGGGACACAGCACCCAATTCAGGGAGTCCTGCAGGTTAGCACGGAGGCTGGGAGTCGCCTCAGTCACAGACCCCGACTTTCCAGCGGAATGGTCGAGAAATCAGTTGCTCCTACTCAGATCACAAGCCAGGTAAATTCATCTTCCCCTACCTCTCACCCACCCCAGCTTCACACGTGCACTAATGTCTCCGGGAGCCTCCCTCCCAGGGAAGGGAGTCTCCTTCGATTTCACACATTTTTCTTGTCTCTAGGGTCTACTTGCATTTTATTCCATCCATCCCGAAAATCGAATTCTAAATTTTAACTTCGGTATATATATGTGACATGAAACTTGAAGAAACAGAAATGCAAGAAGTCGTGGGGAAAGCATTCCAAGAAAGGGAGGCTCATCGCCCTTCCTTCTTAAATGGCAGTGCAAGAGGAACAGCCGTCTGGACCGTGTTATGAATTCCTGTTTTCCTGGTTAAAATCGGACGGACAGGGTTTATTTACCAAAATAGGCAAATCCCACTGCTGAGGGTACCTCTGTAATAACGCCCAGGTTACAACTTTTTGGGTCTTCTTAGAGCTTTACTTTCCTGTCGGGTGCCAAGACACACCATGTCTCTCATTCTCTCTCACTTGGGAGTTTGTGAATAATGTACAATTTTAGCACTTTGGGCACTCAAGTGACAAAGACGTGAGCGTGTATGATTCCACCGATCTTAAAAAAAGCCCACTTGCTAAGCTACATCAAATTCCAGCTTGTTCACGAGGCACAGCCTGAAGATGGTCGTCTTGTGCCCAGGTTAGAATGGCAAACCGATTGTTAGTAGTGAAGGATACGTCATGGAGGTTAAAAATCATCATTAAGACTACTCCCTTCATTCCGAGCTCACAGAAAGTAAAAAACTCTGTGCTTCAGACAGCCGGGCTTGCAGTCCCTGAGAAATACAGCAACGGAAGCACAGAAGTGTGAATCCAGTGGGAGACTGAGCCCGAGGTGGTCACTCAGGTTACAGCTTTATCACCTGGATGGCCAGTAATGCTTACACTACAGAACCAACAGCAGAGACCAGGCTGGTCCCTGCGTTCCTAACTCAACCCTGAGACACACCTGCTGGCTAGGAGTTTAATTCTCTGACCCGGGACTTTATTTACGTGCAAAGTTTTGGAGATTACGTTATCATGTATAGCTAGAGTAGTAAAATAAATCTAAGTCACATGTAGCTGTCCATTTTGTAACTGTCTTTATAAAAGATAATTTTCTTTTGTAAAATCTGGATCAAACCAGAATTCTAGCACAGACGGTCATGGTGCCTACAGATGTGGGTTTGGAATTTACTGAACAGCCAGCAATTAATACTCATAGCTACGGTATGCACTGTAGGTTCTCATCCCAATTTTCCCCATGATGTGGTTGAGGCAGTTGGTTATAAGGTGAGTAACAGGCAGGGGTTGGATTTGAACAAAGGCTCATCTGACTCTAAAATTGGAGTCTTGCCCATCAAGTATCTATACCCAATGGTGGTGACCTTGGGTCCCATGATGCAAGTCAGACGAAGGAGAAAGAACATTTGAGTGTTCCATGCTCCTGAAGAAATGGAAGATTTCTTCTTGCTATATTCCATCTCCCAGAATGCCAGCCAAATCCAGGGGACCATCAGTTTGAGGGTTTTTGCTTTCTTTTTTCTCTAAAAATCAGCCAGCCCAGAAACAATCACAAGAAATTAGATTCTATAAAGGCGAATGACAAACAAGTAAACTCTGAGAGTAAATAAGCATAACAGGGTGAAGTTCTTGAATATTCTGAGGCTACAAACATTTAGGTAATACCCTCTTAATGCCAGGCTATGTGCTGGCTGTAGGGATTCAAAGTCCAAGAAGACACGAGGCGTCCCTCCTCAGGGCTGGGGCCTGATAGGGGGGCAGGCCGCGCTGTTGGGACAACACCAGCCTTCTCCACATCTAGCAAACTTACTCCATTGATTGAAGAAGGAATAAAAGAGGCAAGGAGAACAAATGGACAGTAACAGGAGAATTTAACTCTTGCAAGATTAAGGAAGACCAAGAAGAGTAGGAATCAATTGGGCAGTAAATTGTGGGCACTGTGGAGGACAGCCCCCTTATGCACTGAGTGATCCAAAAAGGAAGCTGTACGGGAAGATCAATTCTCAATTCTCTACAGGTCCACAGAGAGGATGCGAGTGAAGGTACAAAAGTGGCAGAAGTATTTTGGTGTCAGCAACCACACTTAATTCTATTTGAGCTAGATTTTCATGCAGACTTTGGAAGGCAGCCTCTTTGGTCAGCGTGAACCAAGTAAGTACCAGGAGAAAAATAAAAGACAAAGGATCTTAGGCAAGCAAATTTTAGGGGTGTCCAGAGGCAGGGGACAAACGCTTCCATTATATCCATTTGTTCAGCAAATATATACCAAGCATCTAAGTCAACAGGAGACTCAGTTTTGGGGCATAGGACCGGGTTCCTACCCTCAAGCAGCTCACTGTCTCAGATGGACATGTAAATAACTGATTGCAATAAATGCAAAAAAAATAAACCTCCTCATAGAGGCATCCACCAAGAGCTAGTGGAGAAGAAGCAACATCAAAACTGTCAAGAGAAACTTGAGTGCCCATTAATAATGAGTATTAGTCAGTGCGTTCATTAATGAAGTCAACACTTGACATGAAGATGCTGGAATGTTCAATTCACCACACTTCTAACCTTAAGTCAGAAAAAAGAAAATGAAATAACTACATTCTTAACACAATGAGAAAAAGTCACGTAATCCTGACAGGGAAAAGGAGTGAAGATCAGAGGATGAGTCTGAACGGAAAAATATGTACACCCGAGAGTGGGGTAGATTGCATAAGGGAGGGTTTTAAATCTCCTAAAATAGCATAGAAAGTTCAAAATAATGCATGAATCATAATTTTCTTTAGAAAAGCAGGCGACTTAACAACTCAAGTTTGGTAGTGTAAGGAACCAGAAATAGAATATTACCTGTGGATAATTTAACAACAACTATTGTAAATATCCAAAGTATGGGGGGTGGTGGAGGTGGGACCCACAAAATGCTGGAAACACAGCCCACTATTTCCAGTCAAGAAATCATAGAAAATTGGAGAAGGGCACGTTAACAAGATCAAGGGAGCTGTTAAAGATGTACTTTAGTTAATAGCTGGGAAACCCTGGGAATGCCATACAACTTCTATCACACAGCTGCTAATAAACTTGGGGAAAAGACAAATATAGTCTATGTGTTTGCACACATGTGCTAGTGACCCAGGTATCTGTGGGGACGAGAGAATCCTGCTGCCATGAGAAGCCCAGTGAGCTCTGAGATGCTTGAGTTTTCATGTAACGCTGAAAAAAATGTCAGACTCCTTAAACCCAATGCTGTGAAGACGGACCTCCTCTTTGCCCAAACTTCTCCTTGTGCCCTTTTTGTTCCTTTGCCCATGTGTCTGAACGTTAGTTAATGGCTCACCATTTCGTTCCAGTTTCAGCTGTGAGATTCTTCCTCCAAACGGTCCTTGGCAGCAGCTCTTCAGCCAAGTACCCCGCCCTAGAGACACAGGTCACACTCAGCTCCAATTGTTCCCCTCTCTAGGCCTTCCTTCCCATTGTTCATTCAGGCCCTCATATCCTGCATGGGCAGCTCGAACAGCCTCCTATCTGGTCTTCCTTCCTCAGATATCTGCTCTAGTCTAACCGACATGCCCATCAAAGACCTACAGGCAACATGTATCACTTACGTGGTTATGGTAAGATTAGCCCCAACCCCTCCCCCATCCTGCCCGCCCTGTGCCCAAAGGTGAAGTCCTGATTCCTTGGTGCAATATGCAGAGCTCTTTAGTCTGGCCCCAGAGCACGTGTTCAGCCTCATTTCTAGCTAGTTCCCCATTCCTTGTACATTCTACTTATTAAATTCATCACTGGGAGTCCTTGACTGGGGCTACCAGTGCCCTTCCTCCTCTTTTTGCCCAGCAAATACCTACCCGTCCTTCAAAGCTCAGCTGAAATGCCATCTACATGGTGATGATTTTTCCCAACAATCCAGATAGGACTCTGCTCTCCTCTGTGCTTCGTCAGCACAGACACATCAGGATTCTCGCCCTGATCTCATTACACCTCACATTACACTTTTATGTCCCCCTAAGCAACCTCCACCATCACATTTGGCCAGATCAATGCCGCTGACCTGAAAACATCCCGACCAAAGAAGACCGATGGCAACAGTGTCTGGACTGGTGCTGTGGGTCACCCTCCAGCGGGCCCATCCATTTCTGCTTCCAACAGTTGAGTTAATGCTAACAAGAATCCATTTTATTTGCTCCTAGACTTCTTTGGGCCTGTGGTACTTGTTACTGAGCTTGTTCAATGTAATTAATATTACCTCAGAGGATGAAATGTGGGAATAAAGTGTCATTTCTATGAAAGCTACATTGACTGCTTTGGAAAGACTTGATAAAGTCAAGTTGCTAAAAAAATTTTTCTGTCAAATTATGTTTTGGCAAGACCAACTATAAAAGATTGAGAACATAAAAATCTAGAAGGACTCTCCTCTAAGACTGTTCCACAAATGTCTAAATTACCACTCCACTTAAAAAGAAACCAAATCTGAAATGAGCACGTGATTCAATGGAGGTGCCTGTGGTTTATGCAAGAGACTGAAATGCGGAACTTCAGTTGAAGGACTTCCAATACACACGCTTGACCCTACATCATGATGCTGGGGAGTGAATCTATTTTGTAGGTGAAAATAAAATGCTTAAGGAATTTGAAAAAGGATTCCCTGCATTTAGAGACTTTCAAATATAACTGAGAATGTGGGTATTGATTACACCAAATGGAGTTTCTACTGCATCAGTCTACAGATTTGTTCCCGATTTTCTGTTAATTCAGAAAATATTTATTGAGAGGCTTCTGTGTGCCAGGCACCTCTAAGAACTTGGGATACATCAGTGAAAACAACAACAACAACAACAAGGATCCTTGTGGAGCTTACATTTTAGACTGGCAGAAGTAGTAGCTTGCAGGCTTTTATAGCCACAGAGACTCACAGTCCTTTCATCAAGTAAAGTACTTTTGAAAATGTTGCTGGATTGAGTTTGTGGACTACTTTCTTAAATCTAGTCCTGCCTGCCTGTCCATCCATCCATCCATCCATCCATCATTTATCATTTTAAGTTACGTAAACAATATGCTGTCAAGATGATTCACAGACTCAAGAGGTTTAAGAATTTTTCTTAGGTTCTATCTGAATCCCTTTGAAACTCAATTTAACTCCCTTTGTTTCTCAAGATACCTGTTTACTTCATGCTATTAACACAGAGCAGAACTTGGCATTCAGAAGAATACCACCAACTACAAATCATCAATGCAACTTTCCAAGCATTTCCTTTGAAGAGTCTCAAAAATGTTCTCTATCTATGGGCCATTCCAAAAGAAAATCATATTAGAAACTAAGCTATGGAACATGAGCCATTTCAACTCCTTCTGGATAGTGTCTAAAGGGGAACATAAATCTCTAGAGGCAGCCACACTCTTTTATTTCCTTCTTTTGATTATGCCTTGAAAATCTCCAGGCCAAGGACTCCGGCACCTCCTCGTCTTCCATCATCAGTGGAGCTCCCTGGCCTGGATGCACAAGATTATGCTACAATGGCCAGGGGGACAATGGGCGCTGGATGACTATATATAGGAATTCTGGGCTTGGTTGTCATGGAGGCAAATGGAAAAACAAACGCCTAATCCTGAAAATAAGGTTGAGGCCAAACTTGAAGGAAACACACTTTGAAAACTTCCTGTCATTCTGATGAGTAAAAACAAAACCTTGAAATATGATCAGGGAATAGATGAGAAAAAAACAAAACAAAAAATTAGTCTTCAAAATGACAAAAACACAGAAAAAAAAAAGGGTCATCTTCTCTTTTTGAGATTTAGTGTCCCATCATACTTAAGTTCATTGAAAGGGTCTTTCAAGGCCTTATTTTACACGAAGCTTCATGTTCTTGCTCTATTGGGGGATCTAGGCAAGTCTGACCTAAGCCTGCTACGACTTGCAGTTTGCCAGGCCCTATATTTGGGCCACAAAACCATTTGTCTCTCTGTGGTTTATTTTGCAAATGGCATCACCATCCACCCAGTCAACAAAATTAGAACAAATCCTTGATTCATCTCTCTCTTTCATTCTATGTGTTCAATGAGCGGAAAGCCCCGTTGGTTCATCCCCCCTGAACAGCACTTACTCTGTGATCCACTTGCTACTCCATGGCCATGGCTTTTATTCAGGCCCTGTGGTTGCGTGCATTAACTCCCACTGCAAGATGTTCCTGACGAGCGTTCTATTTTCAAGTTTCTTCTCCTCCTAAAATTCCTTTCTTTTCTAAAAGCAAACATGACCATCACCACATCTTACAGGAAAAAGTCCAAACTCTGCATGTGGTGCTCCCACCCTCCTGCACCTGTCCAGACCTACCACACCCCACATCCACATTGCTCACTGCCGGCCACACGGAAGGCTCCTAATGCTCACTGTGTGCTTTTCTTTCACCGCATCATGCAGGCTTGCAATGCCTTTCATCTTAGGTTTCAGCATTCTCCAACTTCTACCATCTTTCAAAACTCAACTCAGTTTAAATCTGCCATTACTGTAAAGATCTTCCTTGATCTTTGTAGATATAATTATTAAAATTCCTACTAGTGTTCAAGATGGGGCACTGCAGTTATTTTACCTCTGCCAAACTAGGATCTCTCTGAAACAGGCTATCCAAGCATGCATGGATATAACTTTTTAAAAGTTCGTATCCCCCAGAACTTAGGTCATGGTCTGGCCCAAAGCAGGTGCTCAATAAACATGTTACTAAGATCCAAAAAGAGTTCAAACTGAAAAAAGTGCCCTGGAAAACTGGATCTAAAAGGAAAATCCAATTAACCAAATGGCACTCTTGCACTGGACACCGAGATTGACAGAAGCTTCCCGTGTGAAACAAGCTACTTTTACTGAGACAAGCTGAGGCCTTTTTTCATTACCTGGAGAATGGCTTCTGGAACACTTGAGAGTTTGGATGGCATGAACTTCATAACCCATGGCCACCCCAAGAAGCCAAAGGCATAATTTCTGCTTTTGACCCTACATCAACTCTTAAGTCTAAACTTTGAAACAGATGATTATCAGGCTACCTGGGAGCCACTTTAGTGGATTCCATATGCAACTCTCTCCTTTTTTAAAGCACCCAGTGACAGGCACAGACCTGTGTAAATGGCACCACATATATAAATGCACCATAACTTTTCTACAGTCAACTTCTATGGCCATGAAAATGGAGCCCTCTGCAATGCATGAGAAGGGATTCATGGATTATTTGCACACATTTATTACTACATTTTCACTGTATAAACTGTTTTACCAATTTTTCTCCATCAGGAACACACTCTCATCTGAGGTATGTAGCATTCAGACAAGGCATTTTGTATGGAGACTTGTGGTGGTTTGGCAAAGCAGAGAGGACTTCCTGCTCCCCAGCCAGTCAATGGAGAACAGGAACATAACCCGGGGCCCCCGCGTCCCCTTGTTTCAAAAACACGTTCCTTTTCTGCCATATTCATTAACAAACACTGTGGGCATTCCTTCTGCACTAAATGTTGTTACTCAAAGTATGTGTTCTTAAAAACCCTCCTCGGGGGGGTCCCTGGGTGGCTCAGCGGTTTAGAGCCTGCCTGTGGCCCAGGGCATGATCCTGGAATCCCTGGATATAATCCCACGCCGGGCTCCCTGCATGGAGCCTGCTTCTCCCTCTGCCTGTGGTCTCTGCCTCTCTCTCTCTAGCTGTGTGTCTCTCATGAATAAATAAATAAAATCTATCTAACAAAAACCCCAAAAAACAAAACAACTCTCCTTGAAGCAGGCTAGAAATTTGTAGGGCAACAAACGAATGTGTAGTAAAGGAGCCTTTTTCTAATGTTTTTTCGAAGGAAGCTCTAGGTGGCATCTGCCATTGTTAATTGAGAAGCTCTTACAATACCAAATGCAAAATTCACCTGTGACTCTTTTGAATTGTGTGATGAGGAAGTAACGTTTCCTGCTGTTCGTTTAGATCATATAGATGTCTTTACCACCACACTGAAAATCCAATGCAAGACTTTTGAGTACAAAAGCCTCTTTATATCAGTGACTTGGCCTCAACCATAGAGTGCTTGCTAGCAACTTCAGATGGCATTGAGAGCTCACGGGCTGTGGGCAAGGCCACAGAGCTTCCTCCTCAAGACCGGACTGGAGAGAAGATGCCTACGGACTTCAAGGACTCGGGTCACAATGGATGGCTTGCTATGAACAGTGCAGTAGGCCTGGGCAGGGAACAATTGTCGCGATTTCTTCAAAGATTAGATAATCAGGAGAAAAGAACACATCTGAGTTTAAGCATATATATTTAGATACGTGTAGAGCTCTAAGTGATGATATGGAAATCAGGTGAGAAAGGCAATGGTTTATCAAGAATAGAACAAGCAGCCACACTTCAAAGCACAAAGTTTTTCTAAAACTGTTCCAGGCGGCAGGAGTCT